GAGTAGGTTTATTTTCCTTATTATTTAAGCCAGCAAGCATTTACAGAAGCCAAGAATAGCAGGGTTAAAATCTCAAACAGCAGTTTTTATATAAGATGGATGCTTCAGTATAATTCTGAATTTCCTTCATTATTGGGAAGAAGGCGTGGAAATAGGGTAGTGATGGCAAACCTTTTTAGCTCGGCGTGGCAGCATTTTGAAAAACCCTAACTTTTAACTCTGGTGCCGTGTCACATATAGAAATTTTTTGATATTTGCAACCATAGTAAAACAAAGACTTATATTTTTGATATTTATTTTATATATTTAAATGCCATTTAACAAAGAAAAATCAACCAAAAAAAAATGAGTTCGCGTGTCACCTCTGACACACATGTCATAGGTTCACCATCACTGAAATAGGGGAAGGCATAGGATGTCTTTCGTGTGTCCCATCCAAGATTGAAGACAGGTTGTAAATAGACATTTATTGGTTGTTTTTGTTTTAAAATAATCTTACAATTTTTAATAATACATGGTTCAAAGATCAAAAGATAGAAAGGGATATATATTGAAAATTGTCCTTATCTCCCAGGATACCAACAATGTTATATCACTGTTCTCCCAGAAATATACTAAACATATATAAGCAATCATGTCTATAATAATAAAAGCATAATATGCTAATTAGACCAGATAACCTTCAGGATGAAGCTGGGGCTATGAGGGAAGCCCGGGCCCTGGGTGCCAGAGGGAAGCCAGTGCCGGCAGCCAGGGGAAGGAAGGCCTACTCTTGCACGAATTTCATGCATCAGGCCTCTAGTTATACATATTTCCCATTTTTACCCAACTGGTGGTATGTGCATCATGTTTGTTTATTTACTTAGCAGTGTATCTTCCCCATATATAAAGAATCTTATCGGTATATAAATATTTCCTTCTTTTAACAACTAAATGTTATTTATTTATAATTTATTTTAATCATTCACCTGTTAATGGATATTTAGGCTGTTTTCAATTTTTCTCTATTACAAATGATGCTACCTTGAATAGATAAGTTATTTCACTTCTTTGTGAGCATATATTTGGATAAATTCTTAAAAATTCAAGGTATTGATATTGCCTTCTATGAAGGGTTGAATATTTACTGGCTGGGAAATAATAAATGTGAAATTATGTGAGGGATTAAAGGTATGAAGAAGCATAAGGGACCAAAACAATAATTGTAGCAGGCTAAGAGGATAAGAATGAGCCTATAGCCAAGAATAGGAGAAAGAGCCACTGGGTTTTGTGGTATGTATATACACGGAATACATTTGTGATTAAAATATACTAATTAATTTCCTCAAATCCTAAATTTTTTTTACTTTTAAAATATATTTGAACTTTAAGATAAACATATATTTGAATTTTAAGTGTAATACTTTGTGTATGAAAACTCTTCATATATTTAAGGAAAAAATACCCTTGCTATTTTCTTTTCAGATTTACATTTAGCATTTGTTTGATCAAGATTTTAACTCCATCCCCAGTGTGTGGTGTGCAGGAGGCAGCCGATCCATGATTCTGATCATTGATGTTTCTCTCTCTGTCTCCCTCTTCCTTCCTCTCTGAAATCAATTAAGATATATTTTTTTAAAAAAGATTTTATTCATTTAATGCATAACTATTTTTTACTTGAAATCTCTCTTCCTCTTTTTATTTCCATAGCCCTGGAAGAAAACGGGATTTTTCCCCTGTATCTTGGAGTCAGTACTTTGAGTCCATGGAAGATGTAGAAGTAGAGAATGAAACTGGCAAGGATATATCCTTTGCAAAATGGCTTATTCTTTAGTAAGCTTATAATGTTGTTTAAGTAGAAGACTTATGTAGTAGTTCCTAAAATGTTCTTTATTACTATTGTTTATTTCATTTTTATTCTCCACCTGTTTGTGTGGCATGGAATATTACCTATAAGTCAATGCCAATATTTTATGTGGCTATAATTGTCTAATGCATGGGGAAGGGATTTAGAATTAAATTTCTGAAACTGGTATATTTCCTAAGGGCCCAGGGTAGAGTTTCATGAGTGAAGTGAGTTGAACTGGTTTTTAGCGTCTAGAAACCAGGGGCTATGCCCTCATTCACGCAAAGGAAAGCATTTTTTTCCCCATTGATAAAATAGTCATACTGGTCTCATGCTTCAAAGACAGAAACTTATATTGAAGTATCTCTTAAGTTTAGAAGTCTGCAGCTTTGCATGTAACTTCATGCTGCATGACTTAGTTTTCTAATCATCATTATTATGACTAATCAAAAACTTCAATGAACAAAGTTTAGATATGTTATCTTTAACTATTCATACTCTTTTCGGGTTTATAAGAGTGGTTCAGAGGGTCCAGTCCTACTCCTTTTGCATGGAGGAGGCCATTCCGCCCTTTCCTGGGCTGTGTTCACGGTAAGTAGTTCATAGTATAAGTTGATATAAATGCAATTATTGTTTACTTTTGGATGAATTTGACTAGCCTAACTCTTCCTTCTGTGTTCACTCTTTGGCTTGATTATAAGAAGGTTATGGATGTGATTTGATTCTGTATTTATTATGGTAGGCCAAATATCACTTGTTCTTTAAGGTAAAGGTTCTTAACTGGGGTGAGCTTCAGTGCATGATTTCTTCAAACGGTTTGTAAAATGTTTTACATATATTTCATTGGGATGAGGGGGATGGAATTTGTGTCTTGTCAAAAGTGGGGTCTGTATTTCAGTGATCTAAGTAAAGGAGAAGCAGACATATTCTATTGAGGTGCTTTAAATACAGATAATGTCTATCTTTTATTTATCTCCCTCATAGAGCCTATTGTACTTTATACATAGAGATGTCCCATAAGTATTTGGGAAATAATCCTTCTTTTTTACAAATAATGCTTTGCACTTAATGGTATCTGTGAGCTATTAGGAAGTAAGCAATATTTGGTTGATGATAACCTGGTCTAGAATAGAGGATGTGTATCTGTGTGAATGCTGTTAGTTGTGGGTCTTCCTAATATCCTTGACTCAGGTGGGGTGGTCCATGTGTAAAGAGAGATACTGCTAAGGAAGATACTGGCAATATTCCTATATAAAGTAAAATTGTCATATCTTATGTGTATCAAGCAGATATACATACGTCCTCTGTTTACCACTAGGGAGTCTGAGGGACAGAAAATGGGAGCAGTTGGGAATGCAGCACTAGGTACCCAGAGCCAGATGAGTGTGGAGCTGAAGAGGCTTCCGAATAATCATTTCATTTCTGGCAGGATTATTGGGATTAAGTATAAAATCACCATCTGGCCTCTTCTTTTAGAATATGAATTCCTTGAGAACAGGGTAATGTCTTACTCTTTCTTGTTTCCCAAATGCCTGAAACAATTCTTGACACATAGGTACTTATTCAACTGTTATTAAATGATTTGTCCCCTGCTTTGTTTGCTACTTCCTATCTCTTGTTTTAGGATATAGCTGTATGATTTGCCCATAAGTGCCAGGCTCTTTCATGTGTCTAGAGACCTTTGTTCTCCAATAGAGATATAATGCCAGCCATATATGTAATTTTAAATTTCAGAGTAGGGATATTAAATAGCTAAAAAGAAACAGATGAAATTAATTTTAACATGTTTTACTTAATCCATTGTACCCAAAATCTTATCATTCCGACAGGTAATCAGTCTAAAAGTTACTGTTGAGATATTTCACGTTATTTTTTATACTGTCTTTGACATCCAGTGTGTCTTTTATACTTATAGCACATTTCAATTTGGACTAGCCACATTTCAGGTTCTTAGTAGCATAGCTTTAGACATGTACATTCCTCTACTACAGGGGTCCTCAAACTACGGCCTGCGGGCCACATGCAAATACAAATATTGTATTTGTTTCCGTTTTGTTTTTTTTACTTCAAAATAAGATATGTGCAGTGTGCATAGGAATTTGTTCATAGTTTTTTTTTTAAACCATAGTCCAGCCCTCCAACGGTCTGAGGGACAGTGAACTGGCCCCCTGTTGAAAAAGTTTGAGGACCCCTGCTACTAGATTGTAAGCTTTTTTGTTTTGTTTTGTTAGTCCTCACTAGAGGATATATTTTCCATTGACTTTTCATAGAAAGTGGAAGGGAGGGAAGTAGGGAAGGGGAGGAGAAAGAGATTATGTATTTATTATGGTAGGCCAAATATCACCTCGTTTTTAAAAACATGTATTTTTATTGGTTTTTTTACAGAGAGGAAGGGAAAGGGATAGAGAGAAACACCGATGAGAGAGAAGCATCGATCAGCTGCCTCCTGCATACCCCCTACTGGGGCTGTGCCTGCAACCAAGGTACATGCCCTTGACCGGAATCGAACCTGCGACCCTTCAGTTTGCAGGCCCACACTCTAACCACTTAGAAAAACTGACTAGGGCAGTGGTCAGCAAAGTCATCAGTCAACAGAGCCAAATATCAACAGTACAACGATTGAAATTTCTTTTGAGAGCCAAATTTTTTAAACTTAAACTATATAGATAGGTATATTGTTATTAACTTAATTAGGGTTCTCCTAAGGCTTAGGAAGAGCCACACTCAAGGGGCCAAAGATGTGGCTCGCAAGCCGTAGCTTGCCGACCAGGGGCTAGATCAATTGTAAGCTTTTTTAGAGGTAAAGATCATAGTTTATTTTTACCTAGTACATATTGTATGCTCAGGGATGTTTTTCTGAAATGAACAAGTAATAGCATCATTTTCCTAATGTAGCAGCTATAGTAATAAAATATACTCCATTTGCCCTGTACCAAGGTCAGAGCCCCCAGAAGTAGCTCATGTACCATGACTTGCCTGGCTCTGCTCTAAGCTAATACACTGTCACAGGGCAGCTAACATGTTGAAGACGTGTAAGGAAAGAGGCACTGTCTTAATTGTCATGTCACATTCAGATAACTGCACTGAAACTTGCTAGGGATACTGACTCCAGACCGCCTCATAAGAAATTTGGCAAAAAGTAGTCTGTGGATAGGAAAACCAAGGATAGTTCTTAATGGGTTACAAGGTTTTTAAAACTTTTAAGAATTACATATGTAGGCTAGAGGTGGCTTCACTGTATACTTTGAACTTTGAGCAGCTCTCTAATAGTCTGGTGGAAAATCAGAGGTAACATTACCTCTTTGAGCATTCAGAATCCTTAGAGATGAGGGATCCAGGTAGGGCTAGAACATACTTCCCACAAACAGCGATTGCTTTTGACACTAAAAGAAGGAACAATGAAGTGGAGTTCAGAAGATGTGATTTCTAGCTCCAGTTTTACCAGTACTCGTAATACATCCTCGTGGAAGTTATTTTAGCCCTTGAGCAAGCCACATAAGCCTTTCTCTAAATACAGTCTCTTTAGGCTTCAAGGCTTCTTTGAAGATTATTTGAAATAATGAATATAAAAACTTTGTAGACTATAAAGCCTTGTACAAATACTATAATAAGCTATTTGTTGGCATGTATTGATATTAAATATTTTTATCCATTGATTGGAACAATGAAATAACATGGAAAGTACCTGGCATAGAGGAGGTGATTGATAAATAGCTGCTGACATTATTATATTTGTTATTATTGTAGAAGATATCTCTTTTACCAAGATATATTCTACAGATTACAAATTCCATGAGAAATGAATGAAATAGGGATTTTGTGATTAAATGAGTTTGAGCAATATTACATATGATATCCTTTTCTTATTCTCTCTTGGAAATTCATCCTGCATATCAGTATATTATTAAAGCCTTTAGGATGTTTTTCGAAGTCTATTAAATTTCAACTATGTCTCCTAAATGTATTTGACCACTTGATTCCTTTTTTCTGAAACAATTGAATCTGAAGTGTCTACTAATTCTCACACTTTGTGAAACTCCTTTTGTAGATAAATCACTGTGTCCCAGTTGCTTACCTGGTTTACTTGTGTAACCAAGGGAATTCTCTACCACTCAATTGACTTAATAATAGCTTGGACTTGGCTGGTTAAATTTGCCTGCCCTTTTTTTTGTTATTCCTGCAGGGTACCAGCCCACTGAATGCGTTGATATGAGATTGTGTTTGAGTTGTGTCTGTGAATCCAGAAGGCAGCTGTGGCGAATAGCAGGAATAAGCTCAAGTGCTTCATCATCCTGAGAGGCAGATTTTCACTGAGATCTTTGCCCAGATGATATTTGGTAAAAAAGGCAATAAAATAGAAGCAAAAAGGCCCTTGCATAGCAGGAGGACAAGTATATTGGCAGCCAAAGGAAGAGATGAACAACTGTGATTGATGCTAGATCATGAGAACCTTGAGAGCAGATCTGTGCCTTATTCACCCTATAGGTCTAGCACACAGAGCCTGGCATGGAGTTGATGCTCAGTAGTTCTTCCTTGAATAAGTTAATACCAACTCCTAACAATTAAAAGATTAAATTTTGTTCATGGTCTCTTTTTCAAGAAAGCAGAAAAGTATGTAATTTTCCTAAAGGCTTTATCAAATGTCAGTAAGTCATTTATATATAACTGATACATAAGGAAGTTGTATAACGTGTTAGAAAAATCACAAACTCCAGGAGACATGAGGCCAAAAGACAGGAAGAAATAGTTCATGGAGAACAAACAGAACGTTTATCCTCACTAGTAATTAGATATGATTCATAAAATGTATCATTGTTTTAAATATCAATATATATATTTTTAAAATCCTCTGTTGGCAAAGATACTTAGAAAACGAAAGTTTCAAACATTGCTGGTGGCATTGTAAATAGAGCTTTTTTGGAAAGTAATTTACAGTGATGAATCAGCAAATATTTATACTAGTTAACACAGAAATTGTACTTATAAGGGAAAATACCTAAAATGGGAAAAGCTATTTGTCTAAAATTAACAATCCCAATGTCCAACAATAAATAAATGGTTAAATAAACTTTATGTACCTATAAGACAAAATATTATACAGCCTTTTAAAATAATTCTGGGCAGTATGGGAAAGCTTTCTGTTTTTCTATTTTATTTTATTTTTTTTAACCTAATAGTCTACAGCTTTGAACAGTGTTGTGCAGTTTGAAGTCTCAAACAGGGGGAGGCAGAATAAAGAGAAGGACCTAGAATGAGGGGAAAGCTAACTTCTCTGAGTCTATATATAAATTGAGTATTTTTAGCCAGAATAATTCCAATTCATTGGAATTTTTTTCAAGTTAGTTGAATAAATTCAAAAGGATTAATATAAAAGCATGTTTAATGCAGAGAAGATACGTGGCCAGTGTAAGCTCCTAAAACACTACTTGTCTACAATGTCTGAGCAACACCACAAGGGTGCGCACTAACTCTATTAGTAGATGATAGCGTAGGGAGTACAGTCAGTTTGTACTGTGATCCGTATATATGGGGCCTGGTGGGTACCCGAAACATTGAGGGGACACTTTACTTTTGAGTATACCTGAAACTAATACAAAGTAATATTGAATGTAATCTAATTGAAAAATAAAAAGACATTAGATGACATGAGGCAGGGTAAAATTAAAAGGGAAACAAAGGTGCGTAAAGTAATAACCATATACTTAACAAATTTCTATGTTGCCTAAAATTTTTAAAAAAGACTATTTTTAATGAATACATTTTAAATCTATGCTATGATTATAAGTAAAATAGTAATATATGGGAGCCCCGGAGGAGGCCTTGCAACGGCATGTCCAGGGCTTCGGGATTAAGGTCTCCAGCTTTCCATCTCCTGGTGCCAGTCCCACAGCAACAAGGACAGCAGTCAACATGTTGCTTACAGTTCTCGCCATCACCCACTGGGTCCCTTGGACAAGAGCACTCACTCCTGTCAGGCTGGCAGGGAGTGTCCATGGCCACGCCCAAGAGACACCTCTGGGCCGCTCCTGGAGCCTGGCTGGTGGGTGTTTCAGATGGTGGCAGAAGCAAGTCTGTTCCGGCATCCCACACATGTTTTTCTATTTTCTAGGTTTTCTTTCAGTTGTATATTTTTTATTTTATAACTTAAAGATTGTTTTTTTCTTTAATATACACTGTTTTTACAGGAAAAAGTTTACATTAATTTCAAAAGTTGTATTCAAAGATTGTATTCAGTTCTCTATCCCACAAGTTAAGAGGAGATTGGCAAACAAACTTGCCCAGCCAGGATTAGAAACCATAGCATTCAACTGAATGTTTGGCCTAAGAAAAGCAAAGACATGGGAGGCATAATATTTGCTTTCAACTGTAATATTAATTTTTTTAAAAATCAGCCACAACTTTTAAACATTTATTATGTGCCAGGTACTGTGATAAGTGCTTACCTACATGTTCCCATTTAATTCTTTTTATATTTCTGTGAGGGTAGGCAGATGAGAACATTAAAATTTAGAGAAATAACAGCCATTCACTGCACCAGAACTTAAACCTACCTCAGTCTGCCTCCAGTGTCATGTTTCTCTGAAGACCAGTTCTGCACTGCCTAAGAGTACAGACTCAGGGCAGAAACCATAGAGGCATATTTTTGAGACACATAAGGCAGAACTTCTAAAGATTGGGACTATTTCAAAGCAGACAAGGACCTCTACAGAGGAAGGGGAGCATCATCTTGGTAGTGTTCCAGCATAGTGCATGTTGTAGGATTTAATTGTGAATATATCCTGAAGTTCCTTATCTATCATTCTGTAAAATTGCTGGACCTAAGTAGAAACGCTTTTGCATTAAATGTTTTGTGGGTTTTTTGGGGGGGAACCCAGAGATTCACTTGAACAAGTTCTATTAATTGTCAAGAGAAAGCATTTCTACTTGGGCTTTTGTAACAGGAAAAACAAAAACAAAAACATCAAGGCATACGTGTGTGTGTGTGATCATTATTTATTAAAGGATGATAACTAAGAGAGGGGAATTATGGTGTTTTAAAGGTTAAGCTTTAGGTTTCTAGAAAATTAATTTTTCAGAATTATTTATTCCTTGTTTATATTCAGTAAATTAGTTATTACTATAGTTGTTGTAATCAAGTTTATCATATGTAGTGGATAATACACTACTTAGGGCTTCTCTAGACTTCTCCACTAGTAAGTAATGGGTATAACAGACTGGCATAATTGCTGTGGGAAAATCCAGCACTAAGCAGAAATTGAAGTTTGGCTGAAAGAGCAGAGGAGCAGTTGGAGCTCATTGATACATGCAGCCTCAGCAGGCTACATTTTGCCAGCCTCCAGTTGTTTTCAGTTTTGGTACCTCTAAGGCAGCGGTTCTCAGCCTGTGGGTCACAACCCCTTTGGGGGCCGAACGACCCTTTCACAGGGGTCGCCTAAATACGTCCTGCATATCAGATATTTACATTACAATTCATAACAGTAGCAAAATTACAGTTATGAAATAGCAACAAAAATAATTTTATGGTTGGGGGTCACCACAACATGAGGAACTGTATTAAAGGGTCGTGGCATTAGGAAGGTTGAGAACCACTGCTGAGGGGTCTCGGACCAAACAAGTGTGAATTGATTAAAGCCAAGAATTGAATCTGCAGTGTCTGCTGATTTCTTTTGCTTCTTTCAGTTAATTCAATTTATGTTAGCAAATATTTACTAGGTATATTCTATATCTCAGGTATTATGATGGGTTACTCAAGATAGGAAAATGAGAGTTCACTCTTTTACAAGATTAGCTAATCAGCAAATGCTTGGTAAACCCCTGCTTTGTACAAGACATTATGCTAGGTGCTATGGATACAATGGAGAATTAAATATACATGCTATCCTCTTGTTCATATGATGATTTAAGTCAAATGGGACTACTTAATTGTGAATATATCCTAAAGATAGGAAAAATGGAGATGGCACATGTATACAAATAATAACAGCAAAAATTTTAAGAAGCTTTCATTTCAAACAGACTGAGGTTTAAATCTCAAAACAGCTTAATCTACCAAGCTCTAGTTTCTTAATCTGTAAAATGGATATAATACCATCTAGTTAATAGAGTGGTTGTGAGAATAAACAAAAGATGTGCAGTTCTTGATAAAGTGCTTTACTCAGGCATTCCGTTTTAGATGAGTTTACCGTATCTAAACCTCTAAAATTGTAACTCCCTAGGATATTATGATTTCTTTTTTTTTAAATTGTAGACACTATTATAGATGTCCTCCATTCCCCCCTCTTTGCCCACCTCCACCCAATCCCTGCCCCTTCTCCTATAGCTTTCACTGCACTGTTTATGTCCATGGGCTATGCATATATGTTCTTTTCAAAATATATTTTTATTTAACTGCAATACAAGCTTGTGTTTACTCCTGCATTGAAAGTGAATCTTTGGCAGGTTTTATGACTTGTACTGCTTTCAGGATTATTTCATGAAATAAATAATTTTTTATTTGTGTGATATCCTGAACCAAGATGTTAACTGACTCATGGTCTTTATCTAGGGAATCTCCCTTCCAAAGTAGGGAAAAGATAACCAAGGAATATGGATGGAAATCATAGTTAATAGGATACAGAGGATCATTGCTTAGAGATGCTCACTCTGTGTTTCATGAAAAGCTAGGAAGAGTTAAGGTTTATGAAGGGATTCAAGTAGAGAAAGTTATATTTTGAAGTTGGGATGAAACCATCATATGCACCAAAACAGAAAATTGTCATTTAAAAATTTTTGCTTAAAATTGAAAAGTTTTATTTCAATTGTCCTGAGATCCTCAAATTCTGATGGCAGGTCATTCAACAAAGTTATTGGTAATGGGAAAATTTTGCTAACCCAGCTGTATCTTACTACATTTCCTTTTCCTCCTAGGCAGCGATCATTAGCAGGGTTCAATGTAGGATTGTAGCTTTGGATCTGCGAGGTCATGGTGAGTGAAGTTCTCTTTCTTTTTTTAATTATTTTTTTGTTAATCCTCACTTGTTTTTTTCCCAATGATCTTTAGAGATAGGAAGGGAGGAAGGGAGGGGAAAGGAGAGGGAGAGAAATACTGACGTGAGAGAGACACATTGATTGGTTGCCTCCCACATGCAACCTGACTGGGGCGGGGATCAAACCTGCAACCCTTGACCGAGAATCGAACCTCTGTCCCTTTGGTGCATGGCCTGATGCTCCAACCACTAAGCACACCAGCCAGGGCGAGTGAAATTCTTAATTAGTTTTGACTGAATGGCATATTTGCCAAGCCTTTTGAATAGTGTTAAATATTACAAATTTCTGTGTGGCCGTCAACTAACCTGGTCTTTCCATTTGGGCATTTTGAGGGAAGTTCTAGCTTGCAGTTTTTATAAATATTTTACAAGTACACACACACACACACACACACACACACACACACACACATTTGTTGTTGCTTAGCTAAGAAAATGTCCTTTAATGTAACCAGATTTGGATGCTGGTAATATATAAGGAATGTGAATAACTCACTTTTAGACTACTGTAATTATCATCCTTAGGGTATCCAACTATAAAGATGTACATGCAACACAAAATTTTGCTAGTCCACCTTATATAAGTATAAAGTCTCCATTTCGTTGTCCAAAGGTGAGATTTTTTGAAGAGAATACTCTTGTATTTATAATTTCTATCCTTGGGAGTTTTATTTTTAAAATACAGTGGATTTTTTTTTTAGGTGAAACAAAAGTCAAGAATTCTGAAGATCTGTCTGCAGAAACAATGGCAAAGTAAGTAATCTAATATTGTTTATACATCACCTAGCTTTCATTACTATCATAAAGAGTAGCATACCTTTATCACTCTCCTGGTGAGATTGTTGGACAATAATTAGTAAATGCTCTATTCTTTTTTACTTATATCTGGCGTCTCCTTACTATTTATTTAAACATTCATCTTTCTTGGTATATTCAATGTGATGGTCATACATAAAGCACTTGAAAATTCTTCGAGGTACAGTTTAGTTTGTATTGGCTTTTGAAAAGTTTTCTTTTGTTGACATTGTTGAATAGAATCTGGATATCGATTGGGGACCCATGCTTGGAAAGTAGTTCTCTATAAGAGGCCCTGTGAAATGTTCTTAAGATATCTTGCCCATATTCTTTGTCCAGCTTCATAGTAAGACAGAAACAGAGTCTTAAAGAAAAAATAGTTATATCCTAGGCCTTAAAGTAAAATATAAATGTAGTATATACAGTAGCTCTTAAACCTGGTCATTCTTCAAAATCACCTGACAAGTGATTAAAATACAGATGATTTGGCCCTACTTCACCCTACTGAATGAGTGCTTCTACCAGTACAATCTGGCCATTTATCTATCTCTATAAAACCTTAATATGCAAATCAACTGAATAGCGGAATGACCTGTCGGCGGGGTTGGGGAAGTGGGGTCCTGATCTCCGGCCAGGCCTAGGAACCCTACCCTATATATTGGGAACAGTCTCTTAGATTTAAAAATTAAAACCTGGCAAGGCTACTCTAACACTGAAACAACAGGATGATGCAGCGATGACATGCACATTTTGTGGTCAGCCCTGATTCTGACACTTATAACTGTGTGACAAAGCCAATTACTTAACTTCTCTCTACTTCAGTTTTTCCATCCATAAGATGGGGAAAATGGTACTACTGCCTCAGAAGGATCATGTTATGTACTACTTTTTATAATCAGGGCAAAAAAATATAGCTGCCCATACAACAGCAAGATGCCTTTCACCTGTATGAAAAGTATAGTCACTGGGGCATGCAGCATCCCAGATTGCAAGAGGGATGTCCAATTGCCGGTTTAGGCCTGTAAACCGACAGTCGGACATCCCCCGAGGGGTCCTGGATTGCGAGAGGGCACAGGCCAGGCTGAGGAACCTCCCCCGCCTTGTGAACAAATTTTGTGCGCTGGGCCTCTAGCATTTTGATAAAGCTCTGTTGAGGAATCTGATATGGGACTAGTGTTTTGGAATTACTACCTTGTATTGTAAGCAGAATTCTTATGACCCTGCTTTTATACATGCTCTGCCATGTACTTAATATGTCTTCTCAAGTAGTTGACCAACTTTGGCCAAAAATATATTGTCCCTACTTATTTTAACAACTTTAATCCAAGAGTAAACTGTTTTTCCTTTAGAACCCAAACTCATGTGGCCATCGTTTTGTTGTTGATAATAGATGCTGTTTGTGCCCTTTCTATTTGCCAGGCTTCATTAAGTGTAAAATAAGCATTTATTAAGAATAAACAATTTATTTAAGTTATTTAAATGTGTCTACATTATTAACTCTGTAATGTAGATATTATCACTTTTTTACCAGTTAAGAAACTAGTTCAGATAGGTTGAATAACTATATGAGATCACACAGTTAATAGGCCAATTGTGATCATTCAACTATAGTGTTTGGCAGAGAGACAGAGACAGAGAGAGAGAGAGAGAGAGAGAGAGAGAGAGAAGGGAGAGGAGTTATCAGTAAGATATTATGTACTTAAAAGATTAAGAGGGTACCCTGGCTGGCGTGGCTTAATTGGTTGAGCTTCGGTCCATGTACCAAGAGGTCTCTGTTTCTATTTCGGGTCAGGGCACATGCTCAGGTTGTGGGCTCATTCCCCACTAGAGGGCATGCAGGAGGCAGCTGATCAATGTTCCTCACCAATGTTTCTCTCTTTTCCTCTCCCTTTCTCTCTTTCTAAAAGCAATAAAAACATTTTATAAAAAGTTTAAGAGAGTAGATCTTATGTTAAGTGTTCTTAACACACATACAAAAGTGATGCAAGGAGGGTCCTAATATAAGGTGACAGGAGAAGATTTGACTCTGGGTAGTGGGCATATGGTGCAAATACAGATCTTGTGACATATATGTTCATGTTGACCAATGCCACCCCAATCAATTTAATAAATAAGTATATTTTTTAAAGTGATGCAAGGAAACTTTTGGAGGTGATGGATATGATCAAGGTAATTTTGGGGTGATGTTAACACAAATGTATATCTATATACATACACACACACACACACACACACACACACACACACACACACATATACAGCCTTACCAAATTGTGTATATTAATGTACCACTTCTTTGTATACCAATTATACCTCAATAAAGCTTGGAAAGAAAAACATTGGGAATGGGAGTTGGAGTGCTGGAGAAGTTGGGCACTGGGGAAACTGTGGTGCAGGAGCTGGGGGTTTCCTGTGCTGCAGGACCTGGGTGCTGGGGAAGTGCAAGTTACAGGAGTTTGTGAAGAAAACACCCATGAATCAGGAACAAAACTCTTTCTGCAACGTCTCTCCTATGTCATCTACTGACACAGCTTAATGTCTTGTCAGCTGGCAAGGGAAAAACATTTTAAGGCCTCAGGTCCAATTGTGCAGAACATGCAATGAAAGGTGAGTTGGGGCTGAGAGATAATAAGTTGATAACTGGCACAATAAAGTTAAAGAGAAAATAAATGATTAAAATCATGTAGAACTGATTATGGCCAATAAGTTGGATTCTTGCTGAAAATAGACTAAACAGTAAAACATTTATATGATTTCTGAATTCAATAATTCTGTGAAACAAAAATCCCCAAATGGGTGTATACTTAATGGGTGATTAGTGGGGTTTTCAAGTAGTACTGACAGCATGATTTTCCCCTTACGTATCAACTTTAGAACCTATACCCTACATAAGATGCAACTCCACTGAAAGTAGAAGAGCCGAGATTTGAGCTCAGGTCACTGTGACATTCTTTTTCTGTTATGTCTGTGATATGCTATACTGCTTCTCAGGAAATGAACCTAGTATTAATAAGTATGATAGAATCTCCTTAGAGAGCAACTACCAAAATTATGGTACATCCAATTATAGACTAGATTTGTAGTTAATCTCTACTTCATTTTTATTTTATTTCTCTGAAATTTCAGGACATGTCTCAAGGCTCTAATCTTGGTGACTGAATACTTTGCCTGACTTTAATAAGGATACATTTCTCCTGGTGATAGATGATCAAGGGATTGATCATAACCAACTTTTATCTGTATGAAATATTCCTTTCCTAAGCTTAGATACAATATTAAGTTGGTTTGTTTCAGACCCTGTCCACCTTCATGCATGAAGCAGCTATCATACAACCCTTCAACTTAGTATTTTAAAGAGACCTGAATTCAAATTCTTTAGCATCCTTTTATTTTACTAATTATATCTTTTATTTATTATATCTTTTATTTATTTAATTATATCTGTTACTAACTCAAAATTTTAGCCTTAAATTTAACTCCATTATTTTCAATTATAAAATTGGGTGGCCCCCTTACTCCCATTCAGATTTATCTGCAGATGCTACAGCTACCGTATTGACATTTGTATTGTTGTATGAGGTTTTTAAGATTAATTCCTTTAGAAATAATGTCATTTACCTTTGGTATTCTGAATACTATGGAGACTAAGCAAGGCAAAACTGTCTTTTGAACTTGATTGACTCAGCGACTCCCAAAAGAAGACAGTAGAGCCAGTGGTTCCTAGAAATATACCGTACTTAAACTATTGCTATAACAAAGAAGGCCTGTCCCAAATAAAAGCCAAAATTCCTACTTTAGTTCTCATTTTCAAAGCTGTAAGATTTGACTTTGTTAAACAGACCTACTCATAATTAAAGACTAGGACAGAAGCCAATAAAAATGTAAACACCTTTCAAGTTTCTCAGTACACTATACTTACATTTATGTTCATACTTCAAACAACTTTACATGACAAATACTAATTAACATTTGTATAGTACTTTACTTTTTTCAAAGTATTTTTACATTCACTCAGTTAATTCTCACAGCAATTCAGAATAGTAAATGATATCCTTATCTTCAGTTATAGAAACTCTGAAAGGTTAAATAACTAATCCAAGTCCATATAGTAAAAAATAGACTTGGGCTGTAATTCATCTTGTGACTCCAAACTTCACTACATTGTAATGCTTAATAAAGTTGTTTTTTTTGTTTTATAGATGGGGAAACTAAAGCATAGAGTAGTTAAATGATTTGTGCAGAGTTTCAAGCTTAGGTTTAAACTAAAGATGTGTGATTATGTAATAGTACTAACTGTGTGGAACAGTGAAAGTGTTATATAAAGGAAAGTAAAAATATTTGGGTTCTTAGTCCTTTAACTGTCATTTGTCATAAGAGCCAGGTATGTGGCTATGTGTACAAATACTGGGGACATGTTAGGAATTTTGCATAGCTACGTTTGCGAGATGACTCAATAGACCTTTACAGGCCTAGGCCTGTTAGTTACAGACCAAAGGAAGGAGTTAAGAAAGAAAACTATTTCTGTGTTGTCAGAGAGCATTCCCAGCTTTCTTTCCTTCTTTTTGCAGGGATGTTGGCAATGTAATTGAAGCCATGTATGGGGACCTCCCTCCTCCAATTATGCTGATTGGACATAGCATGGGTGGAGCTATTGCAGTCCACACAGCATCATCCAACCTGGTGCCAAGCCTCCTGGGTCTTTGCGTGATTGATGTTGTGGAAGGTAAGTTTTCTTGTGCTAACCCATTCAAAATCTTTGAATATAAGAGCCCATCCTGGTAGATTATTGTCATGTTTTAACTAATTATTGATTTCACTCATCTTGAATTATGTCCCTTTGTCTTTTATATCTTACTTTTATGTTATTTTGTGGCGAAGGCATTCCAAGTGTTTTTTAAATTGGATATAATGGACATATAACTTTGTATTTGTTTGAGTTGTACAATATAATGATTTGGTATATGTACAGGGTGGAGCAAAAGTAGGTTTACAGTTCATATGGAAAATAATATAATAATAAATAATATTACAAAAATAAACTCTGTGTTTCGCATCCTCATGACTATAAATCTTTTTGCCCCACTCTGTATATATTGCATAATGATCACCATAATATGTCTAATATTCATCACCATACAGTTACAATTTTTTTCTTGTTATGAGAACTTTAAGATTTATTCTCTTTACAACTTTCAAATATATAATACAGTATTATTAACTACTAGAGGCCTGATGCACAAAGATTCGCTTCCTTTCCCTGGCTGCCGGCACTGCCTTCGCTCCAGCCAGAGCCACCTTTCTGCTTTCCCATGCTGCCCAGAGGCCCTGAGGGGCTGGGGCGGTGCGGAACACCTGTGTCATTGCCATGGCAACGACGCAAGCATCCCGCCCCCGGCCACTAGGTGCCTGTGTATGCAAATAAACTCGCCATCTTTATTGGGTTAATTTGCATACTCCTGATTGGCTGGTGAGCATTGTGAAGGTATGGTCAATTTGCATCTTTTATTAGGTAGGTAGTCATGCTATACATTGTATCCCCAGGACTTACTTATTTTGTGACTGGAACTTTTTTTTTACACCTACATTCATGTCACCAACACCCCACATTACCTAATCATTCTCCATGACATAAGAAACTCTTCATAAACATCTTTTATGGCTGCATAATATTTTAATTGTATGTATATTCCATAATTTTATTTAACATTTAAAAAGAAACTGCCATGTCTTCTATGACCCAGTCTCAGAAGTCACACTATTACATATACAAGTCAGCCCTTTGCATTGTCGGGATACTGCAGGAAGGAGTGAATACCAGGAAGCAGAAATCACTGGAGGCCATCTTGGAACCTGGCCTCCCATCAGTCTTTTGAATTTCCTTAAACTGAATTCTGCTGTCTTTGAAGGCAGATGTGTGTATTTCCCCAGTAAGTGTAAATGCTTGGAAATGTTAAGTGCTATGGTTAAAATTTTTGTTTAACATCTAGGTACAGCCATGGATGCTCTTAATAGCATGCAGAATTTCTTACGTGGTCGTCCTAAAACCTTCAAGTCTCTGGAGAATGCCATTGAATGGAGGTAATCCATAAATCTATATTATGTGTATTTTATTTTATTTTTTAATTTTCTAAAAAATATATTTTATTGATTTTTTACAGAGAGGAAGGGAGAGGGTTAGAGAGTTAGAAACATCAATGAGAGAGAAACATTGATCAGCTGCCTCCTGCACACCCCCTACTGGGGATGTGCTCACAACCAAGGTACATGCCCTTGACCGGAATCGAACCTGGGACCCTTCAGTCTGCAGGCCGATGCTCTATCCACTAAGCCAAACCGGTTAGGGCTATTGTGTGTATTTTAAATGTTAGGCTGGAGCTTTCCTTTTTCATCAACTAAAGTACCAAAGTCTAAAGGAATAATTCCATGTCTTAGCTTTATTGTAATATCATGGGTAAAAACATATAAAGAGCAGAATAGGAGCAGAGATATTACATATATGAAACTGTCGTCAAAACAAGACTATATGATCATGAATACAGGTGGGTTTGTGTTACTGTAGATTCAGTTTGTGGTAGAAAAATGAATTAGTTCTAATTGCTTCTGTTTATTACTAAAATAATAAACAAGGTCATTGAGTAGGGTGCACTTTAGAATTATACATGATTTTTTTTAAGCTAAAATATGAGATTTAAAGAAATGTGTTCTGTTGGCCTGCTTGGTTCATGTGGTGTTTCCTTGGCCCTTACAGATGCTTAAACAACTCTGGGAAAACTAATCTATTAAGATAGAGTCTAAGCTCCTAAGCTCTAGTCTGTATCATGACATGCAAGGCCCTGTCACACTCCCTCTTTGCTTGCCCCTGCTTTTCCTTGTATTCTGTCCTCTAAAGCAGCGGTTGCCCTTTCAGACCTCATGGACCACCAGCGGTCTGCGGACCACTGTTTGGTGACCGCTGCTCCAAAGGTTTCCTTAAACCAGTAGTTGCCAACCTTTTGGATCTCATGGACCACCAGTGGTCCGCGGACCACCGTTGGCGACCGCTGCTCTAAAGTTGTCGTCCTGCTGACTTTTTTACATTGTAGTACCTTCATTCACACAGTGTACCCTCTGCCAATAATGCTCTGACCACCCTCTTTTATCTTTTACTTATCTTCAGTTCTCAGTTAGGCAGGACATTTGGGGAGCTTTCTCTAATCTTCCCATTGAAAATAAAGGTGACTCCTTTGAACTTTGACTTATTATGTTAAAATGATCTGCTTGTGTTTCTTTCTCCCCAATGAATTATATGCTTCTTCAGCATGGGCCTACCACATAGTATCCTCTTGGTAAATATTTGCAGAACTGAAATGGCTTCAATGTCTTAATTTTTACTACTCAGTTTATAGACGTAACTAAGTGGGAAGTAGTGATAACCTCCATACGGTGGTAACCATAACTTTTTAGTAGGTCCTACAGAATCTGTAGAATTACTCATTTGACCCTAGTGACATGATAAGGTGGATCCTGAATAACCTCTCTCCCTTCTTTCTTTTCTCTTCTAGTGTGAAGAGTGGCCAGATTAGAAATCTGGAGTCTGCCCGTGTCTCCATGGTTGGCCAAGTCAAAGAGTAGGTTCTATTTTTCCCTGTTGTGCTAGTTAGAGAGTGAAACATGGTGATGAAATTACAATTTGCTCTTTTTCTTATACACTTGTCCTGTCATCCTTGTGAATGTCTTCATTATTTTTGATAATTTTTACAAGTGAGCTCAGTTGGGCCAATTGTATAGATTTTCTTTTCTCTTTTTTGAGGAAATCCCAAGACCAATTAGTGCCTTCAGTATAGTATTGGATTACCTTATTAGTACAACTCTAGGTATTAAAGGTGAAGAATCCCAGAGAATGGACATTGAAAATTAAGTGGCCAGCCCTGGCCAGGTAGCGCAGTTGTTTAAAGCATCACCCCAACATGCCAAGGTTGGGAGTTCGATCCCCAGTCAGGGAATATACAAGAATCAACGAGTGAAGGCATACATAACTGGAACACAAATCAATGTTTCTCTGTCTCTCTCAAGTCAAAAATAAGAAATTGAGTGTCCACTTAAGTGCGGGCAGTATGGTTTTATTCTGATAACAGTCTCCTAAAACAATAATGGTTGTGAGGAAATTACAGCATAAAAGCTTTAGCATAACCTGAATGAAAGCCAGATTCTAATGTTGAGCTAAGATTATTTAGCTCCGTTGATCTTCCTGAATAGGGTTACATGAGCCCTTGATATTGCCATGTAGGCACAAAAGAAACTTTAGGTGAATTGAGAAAATGTTGCCCAATGGAACAGACAGGGAACATAAGAGTTGATGGTAATGATAATGGCATTATTGAATGTGTACTATTTGCCAAGCACTGTGAAAGGTATTTATATATACACTATCTCATTTTTTAAAACCTTGTAATATTGAAAATTCTTAGACATATAAAAGTAGAATAATACATTGAAACCCAATGTACCCATTGCCCATTTTTAACAGTTACTGACTCATGGCCAGTCTTGTTTTATCTGTACCCCTATTTATTTCCCCTAAGCACAAAATATTGTGAAACAAATTCTAGACAAAAACAATTTCCTCTGTATGATTTCAGTATGCTTTCTATAGGTTCCACTTCTATCTCTCTCATTTTTTTCTTGCAATTTATATGTTGAGGAAACATGGTTGTTTGCTCTGTAGAATGTCCCACAATCTGGATTTGCTGGTTGATTCTTCAAGGTGTAGTTTAACATGTTCCTTTGTTCCCTGTATTGTCTGTAAATTGTTAGTGAGATCCAGAGATTTGATTTGTTTTTGTTTTTTTGTTTTTAAGAATAGGTAATATTGTTTAATACCATCAGAAAGTAAATAATGTCTGCTTGTCTCTTTTTTGAATGTTAGCAGCCATAGATTGTCATTACCTGGATTCATTAATTCATTTGCTTTATCTCATTTAATTCTTACAATACCTCTTTAAGATAAGTATTATTTTATAGGTGAAGATATGGAAGTCCAGAAAAGTAGAGTGGTTTTCTCAGGATTACATAGCTAGTGAATCACAGAGCTCAGATTCAAACTCCTATGTATTTTAATCTAAGGTCTATATTATGGACTTTATGACTAAAAGTATAATTTGAGTAGTAATATCTGGCAGACACATAGCAGAGGCTTTGAGTAATTTGTGAAATTGTCCACTTTTCAGTGCCTAAATATGTTGAGATCTGACTTGTCTAAGCAGTGGTAAAGCATTTTATAAGGAAGTTACATAGCTGGTGTGCAGGTAATTAAGTGATTTTTAAATTTTACTATTTGTAAGCTTAAGTAATGTTTTCTCTTAATTTGTAAATCTGTGTATGTAAGAGTATATGTGTTTCAATTGTCACATAGATATTAGCTGTAACATTTCTGCCCTCTTGATCTAGGTGAAATTCTTTTGAATCTCCCAGTTCATAGCTATGGAAATCCAAAGCACATGTTGTTTTTTGTTATGGTCCTCTGCCCTAGATGTGAAACTTGATACTTCAAGTTCAAGAGAAACCTCCATCTAACAAAACATTTGTGACCATAGGCTTCATGGAAAGTTGGGTAGAGGAGAAAGAGAAGTTACCATTCTTAAAAATCCACCACTGAAGTTCACTAACCTTCAGTTTATCCCACTCTTTTTTGCTTATTTTCTCTCCTCCCTTCTCTTTCCTTTTCAAACAAATTCTTGTGTACCATGCATAGCAGGCCTTGGCACTAGCTGCTCTCCAGACCCTTGGGATTTTTAAAAAGTAAATTTTAAAAATATTTTTTATTGATTTCAGAGAGGAAGGGAGAGGGAAAGATATAGAGACATCAATGATGAGAAAGAATCATTGATCAGCTGCCCCCTGCATGCCTTACATGGGGGATTAAGCCCACAACCCGGGCATGTGCCCTGACCAGGAGTTGAACCATAACCTCTTTTTTTTTTAAAGCATTTTTTAAAATATATTTTATTGATTTTTTACAGAGAGGAAGGGAGAGAGATAGAGAGTCCGGAACATCGATGAAAGAGAAACATCGATCAGCTGCCTCCTGCACATCCCCCACTGGGGATGTGCCCGCAACCCAGGTACATGCCCTTGACCGGAATCGAACCTGGGACCATTCAGTCCGCAGGCAGACGCTCTATCGACTGAGCCAAACCAGTTTCGGCGAACCATGACCTCTTGATTCATAAGTCGACGTTCAACCACTGAGTTGCGCCGGCTGGGCCAGACCTTTGGGATTTTTACCCCTAACTTTCGTCAATATATTTTTTCCAATAACTTCTCGCTAAAAGTAACTATGGCACCAGCTATTCATAAAATAATATTTTTTCTACCTAATTGCATAATAAAGAGATAATGTTTTTAGAGGAAACACAACAATAATAATTGGTTGGACCAGATGTTCTAATTTGCAAGGTTCAGCTGTCATGATTACTGTAATTGCCAGTTTCTACCAGCTAATTAAAAAGTGGGAGCTTTTTACCATTTGGTTGAACCTTGTTCTACTATAAGCAGGGTATAATAGAAAAGCATTTTGCCTTAGAATTAATTGGGCCTGCATTTGCCTACTAGCTTCATCTACTCATGAGCTAGATGATCCTGGACTGTTTTTTTAACTCTTCAGACCTATTTCATAGGATTGTTAAGAGGATTTACATAGGATAATGCCAATAAAACTCTTAAGTGATTACTCCCTTCTGTGGGTCAATTTTGATACCAGAACTGGAAACCATCTCTTGTAGTATAGTTTTATGTTGGTCATTACCTTCCACAGTTCTAGTCTACTTTTGTACATTTTATTTATTTATTTATTTATTTAAATTATTTTTTTTTAATTGATTTTTTACAGAGAGGAAGGGAGAGGGATAGAGAGTTAGAAACATCGATGAGAAAGAAACATCGGTCAGCTGCCTCCTGCACGCCCTCTACTGGGGATGTGCCCGCAACCAAGGTACATGCCCTTGACTGGAATCGAACCTGGAACCCTTCAGTCCGCAGGCTGACGCTCTATCCACTGAGCCAAACCGATCAGGGCTACTTTTGTACATTTTAAAAAGCACATTTTTCTCATCCTCCCAGAAGCGTTGTTAAGTTTTAACTAACATCCTCCTGTATAATAAAAGGCTAATATGCAAATTGTCCCCTCGGGAGTTTGACCAACCGGGAGTTCAACCAACTGGGAGTTTGACTGCTTGCTATGACATATGCTGACCACCAGCAGGTGGCACAGAATGAAGGAAGGCCCCGGATAGCAGCCAGCAGCCGGGGGAAGAAAGGCCCCAATCACCCCTGATTGCTGGCCAAGCCTAAAGACCCTACCCATGCATGAATTTCATACACCAGGCCTCTAGTTTGATTATAAAAGATCATAAGTTTCAGTATTTCTGAGATAATTTGTGTATACAAGAGAGGTTTGTGATAGCACTTTTTTAAAAAACCTAGGTGTGAAGGAATTACAAGTCCAGAAGGCTCAAAATCTGTAGTGGAAGGAATCATAGAGGAAGACGAAGATGATGAAGAAGGAAGTGAATCAGTTAACAAGAGGAAGAAGGAAGATGACATGGAGGTGATTAAAAGCCTGCATTCTTGGAAGGATGGTGTAGGCAATGGTTCAGAGTGTGTTTTGATTACTGTAGCTTTGTAATGTTTTAAAAGCAAAGAGTCTGATTTTTTTCTTTTTCAAAATTGTTTTGATGTTTTTCAAAATTGTTTTGACTGTTCAGGATCCCTTGAAATTCCCTATGAATTTTTTTTGGGAAAACGCCATTGGGATTTTGATAGGGATTGCATTGAATCTGCAGATTGCTGTGGATAATATGGACATCTTAATCATCCAATGATCTTTAATATAATATATTGTTGTCTTATGTTCACTTCTAGATTTTCATCTTGTGGTTGATGCAGTATCCCAATTATTTACTTCAGTTATAATATTTCAAATTTTTAATGATGCAGGAAAGCATAGAGAATTATTTGTTCAGTTTGTATTTGATGAGTGCATACTCCACGCCCATCCATCTGCTTTATATTGAGATATAACAGATATTGACATTTTGTTATATTTGTGTCAGGTTTCCTTTTTTAAATTACTTTTGCAGGAACATTATATCATTATCATAAATGAAAATGTAAGAAAAATGCTCTACTAACAAATCAACGTATTTTCAGTTTTCCTTTCCAGTTCTTTCCCAAACTATACCACATTTTTCCAGTGGTAATCCTAATGTAGATGACATGTTGTATTCTGCTTCTTTCACTTACTATAGCGTAAGCATTTTTTTTTTCATACTGCAACATGGTTTTTTTTAATTATCCTTTTGATGGTGTGTTCTTTTTCGCTAAATATAGAGAAACTCAGTCTTGGCTTTACCATTTACTAGCCTTATAATATTAAGAAAATGCCCCAAGTTCACTGAATTAATAGAAGTAAAAGTAAACTTCTAATTATCTAAACACAGAAATAACAATATATCACAAGGCTGTTAAAAGAATTAAACGTTTATTAAAACGTCTGGGACATTGTAGGTTCTTAATAAGTGCTAGTTTCCTTCCCTTTCCTTTTCCCAGGGACCTTGTTTTTATCTTGTTCCTCCAGGGGTTGCCCTCAGAGACTCAGAACTTTCTCTTATTCCTCCAGACCAAGAAAGACCATCCGTACACTTGGAGGATTGAACTGGCAAAAACTGAAAAATACTGGGATGGCTGGTTCCGAGGCTTATCCAACCTCTTTCTTAGCTGTCCTATTCCTAAATTGCTGCTCTTGGCTGGTAAGTGTGTATGTGCCTGTATTAGTCCATGTGGGCTGCCATAACAAAATAACCATAGGCTGGGTGGCTTAAACAACAAATTTATTTTCTCATTCTGGAGGCTGAAAGTCTGAGATCGGGGTACCAACATGGTTGAATTCTGGTGACAGCTTTCTTACTGGTTTGCAGACAACCACCTTCTCACTGTTTCCTTACATGGCAGAGAGAAAGCAAGAGCAAGCTTTCTGATGTTTATTCTTATAAGGACACTAATCTTATGTGATGGAGGCCCCACCCTTATGACCCCATTTAACTCATTTACTTCCTCATTTAATCATAATTACTTCCATATTGCTAAATATAGTCACATTACAGATTAGGGCTTCAACATAAGGATTTGGGGGGGCCACAGTTCAGTTCATAGCAGTGTAGGTATATGGTCATCTGCGTATGTTCTTGTTATATGTAAATACTCACCAAATGGGTAGTGACTTCCAAGGTGAAATACCATCCTCACTCATTTGTGCCCTTTTTCTTCCCCACACCAGATCCCTAAACCTAATGAAGCATAAGCATCCACCGGGGATGGCCTGATTCTGGCCTGGCCTCTGTACCTGGTCAAGCCCAAGTCCTTCTCCTAGAGTGGTGTAAGGATATTCTGAGTATAATGGAACTTTTAAAAAGTAAAACCCTGTTTTCAGAAACCAGTTTAAATGAGCAAATTGATTGCCTGGAAAGCTTCGTATGGTGAGAATATACACTTAGGGAGTTAGGATTGTCATTAACATGAATTGAGAATGTCATCATATTTACAACTTTGTAACAATTTTTATATCATACTTGAACAGTAAAACCTACTTCACATGGCCTTTTCTAGTAAGCTACTTATGGATTCTCTTATTTTTTTTCTAGGTGTTGATAGATTGGATAAAGATCTGACTATTGGCCAAATGCAAGGTAAGACATCAAGAAATGATATCCGTAGGCCAATGATTTTCAACTTTTTTTATCACATGGCACACACAAACTAATTACTAAAATTCTTGGCACACCAAAAAAATAATTTTTTTGTGATCTAACAGAAAAGAAAAAAAACGGTATAATTTTGATTCATTTGCACCAGACTACTATTTTTGTATTGGCTGTTGTCTTTTTTTTTTATCCTCACCAGAGGATATGTTTTTATTGATTTTAGATAGAGAGGAAGGAAGGGGCGGGGGGAGAAAGAGAGAAAGAGAGAGATGTTAGAGAGAAACATTGATCAGTTGCCTCCCATAAGCTCTCAAACCGGGGATCAAACCTGCAACCTAGGTGCCCTGACTGAAATCGAACTCACAATCTTTTGGTGTACAGGACAATGCTACAACCAACTGAGCAATCCAGTTAGGGCTGTTGTCATTTTTTATTTGACAATCTAAGGGTTTTGAAAAAGGTCAGGGCCCCTGAGTAAATAGTCAGGTATTGCATGTTTTAAAAATCCTTATGACACAATGGTTGAAAATCGCTGTCCTAGGTGGTTCTCTGAAGGTACAGAAAGATGCAGTCATGTGGAAATTAATATTCTGAGATGTTGAGATGCAGTGGAAAGAGCTTGAGCTTTAGAGTTAGACCCAGATTTAGCATGCACCTCTGCTCCACTTTGATATTTTATAGGCCCCTTAAACTGTTATTTTAGCTGTTCTTAAGCCGTCCACAGAGAAAGGGGGCTATATTTCCTCACAATAGTTGTTCAAAGACTCCAGAATGATTTATCAAACTCTGGCCCCAGGCCTTCATACTATCTCTTTCTCCAACTACATAGTGTTCTGAAGCCTGGAGAGGAATTCTGGGCTGGGGCTGTGCGATTGGTAATTCTGATGTTGGTAATTCTGAGCTTAACCCCTTCCCCGGCAGAAACGTATATACTCGTTTTCACAAAATGTTCTTTTTCAGTCGTCGACGAGTATACTAAGAAAATATGGTAAAAAAATATGGTTTATAGGAAGACGAGTTACAAACTGTTTTCATAACCAGCATCAAAAATACTATATAGAACCAAAATAAAAAAATTAGTCTGAAAAAGAAACGTTTTTAACAAAAAAATTGTTGGGGAAGGGGTTAAACACCTTTCCTTGAATTTAATTCAAGCAAACCTTAACTAAGTACTCTTTCTGTGCAAGACCTATGCTTGCTGTTGGGCAGACAGAAGAATCAAACATGGCACCTGATACTATCTGAAAGCAGTTGATCTGGACTGGACTCGCATTTGGAACCAGTGTTGATCACCAGCCTTGGAATCAGATAGTTCTTGATTTGATTCCCTGTTACTGGTTTTGTGGCCTGAATGAATTGCTGATTTCTTTAATCTAGAGGTGTTTCTTTCAAATCTATAAAGTGGAGATAATGTTATATCTCAATACAGTTGTGTGAGGCTTAAATGAGAAAATGGGGTGAAGTAAGAGTCTGACAGATCACTATGTTCAAGAAGCAGTCACAATTCCTATTTACATGCTCTTTTGTTTCTCCAGTAAGGATTATGCCAAGGTCACCTTCTCTTTCAAAGTATCTCATGAGTATAGAGATTAAATGGCTGTGATGAGGGACATTTGATAAAACAAAGAGAAATGGCTAACTCAGCATAAATTCCTAACCTCAGCCTTTCCAGCGTTGTGTTAAAACCAACTGAATTAGTTATCAAATCCTGGAAACCCAGTGCTCACTCACAGTGCAATTTGGGTAAATAATTTAGATCATCTAAAATTAAGGTTCCTCATCTGTAAGATGACAGGGGAGGGTTTGGAATATGCCCACCTCATAGAATTATTGTGAGGATTGCCCATATAACATTTTTATGTGTACTGGATATAGTGTTAGTACATGTGAGTTCTCCTTGTTCCTTATGCCCATTCTTTCAAATAGGAATGAAAATGCATCCCTAGTCATTAATCCTGGGAGTTATATGTTTTATCAAATCATCTGCTTAAATTATTAACTTGCTCATTGTCTTGCCTTGTGTTGAACCCTATTAGGGATATATAGCAAGTAATGATAGTAACCGGAGTCCTTACAGAAATGACATACTCCTGGGGAGGCAAGCACCAATGGCACCCTATCTAATAAAAGAAAAAAAGGGTAATTGACCGTACCTTCACTACGCTTCCCATTGGCTAATCAGGGTGATATGCAAATTAACCGCCAAGAAAGATGGCGGTTAATTTGCATACATAGGCGCAATGATGGGAGGCGAAAGGGGAAGGATGGAAGAACAGTGATCAGAAACCCAGGCAGCAGGCAAGAGCTGGGGGGCAAATGCCCTGCCCCCTTTGCCCTGCCCCCCAGCCCTGGATCGGAGAACCGGGGCCGCCTTTGCCCGCCCCCCAGCTAGTGATCGCCTGCGGCCCCGTGATCACATGGCAATCGGAGGGAGAGAGAACCCGGCACAGGCAAGGCGGCACCCCTGAGGCCTGGGGGTGCCGCCTGGCCTGCGGCCCCGTGGTCACCATGGCGATCGGAGGGAGAGAGAGCCGCATCGCGATCGGAGAGCCAGGGTGCAGGCGAGGCGGCACCCCAGCACCTGACATGCAAAGGTCAGGGATGAAATGACTTTTCCCAACCACATCTGCAAATATCCTGGGGAAGGCATCACTGAAGAGCTCACAGCAACTGTCTTACTGGGCAAGGAAAACAAAAGTTGGCAACGGAGACAATCCCTTACATCAAAGTTAAGGTCCCTCTGAGTAAAAAAGAGTATTTCCAATGTAAAGGAGGGAGCAGGCAAAAATAATAGGTTCTCATGACTTCCACTGAAGTTTGAGCATATGACAGAGTCAAAATGAACTTACAAATTAAAACACAGTGGACATTCAAATGACCTGAATCAACTGTCACTGTTTGTCCCAATAGCAGCAATGCTTATGTGATAATATAGTTTAACAAACATACAAAACAAGTTATATGATAAGAGAGGTTCAGCTTCTAAAGTAAATTGAATATGTTCTTTAAAAATTCTCATGTCCTCCCCTCTGACGAGAATTCTTAATTTTCCAATCAGAAAATTACCCCAGGTGATCCAGTAACATGTAGAACTCCAGTAACCTAACTTATTCAAAAAAACAAACATCCCAACCATTTTTAAAATATTTAAATTGATATTTTAGGGTTAAAATTACAGAAGATATTTAGATCCAAATATATTTTCTGAATAGAAAATATTTCAGGTTTTGATTTAAAAAAAATAAACATAAAAAAATATATAAGTGACACATTTTCCCAAGAAACTCTGAATTAGTACCTTTCCCTCCAACTTTCTTCAAATTAAGAAAATCTATGGAGTTCCCTATACACAAGTTTTAATGAAAGAAAATAAGACTTTCTAAGAGCATCAAATACATGTTTTCTTATTTACAAACATATATACTCTTCTTTCTCTCTCTCTCTCTCTGTCTTTTTAAAATATATTCTTACTGATTCAGAGAGGAAGGGAGAGGGAGAGAGATAGAAACATCAATGATGAAAGAGCATCATTGATAGGCTGCCTCCCGTACGCCCCCTACTGGGGATTGAACCCGTCACCCGGGCATGTGCCCTTGACTGGAATTGAACCCGGGCCCTTCAGTCCACAGGCCATGGTCTATACACGGAGTGAAACCAGCTAGGGCTGCATCTGTACACTTCTTAAACACGCTTAGGAAAAACACATTGCCACCACTTGAGACAAACTGAACAC